TTTGAATTCCACTTACATATAATTACGTATTTATTTAATTTAAGTCAAGTCAGGTCTTAAGTTAGACCTTCACTAATTACAATTTCAATACAGACTTATTTCAAGTTAAATACACACATACATACATATGTATAGAGAGATTCTAGGTCATTAATTTTATTTTTCTTATTAAGTAAAACGAGATGAGATGCTTAAAAACCATGGCGGCAAACATTGATTATATCGGTAACATTTTTACAAACTTAAACGATTTTGGTTGCTTAAATGATTTTTGTACAATTATATTCAGAGTACCTATTTAGAAAAAAAATTAAAGTTACATACATATATAAAATTTAGTTACTTTTTAACCACATACATATCTAAGTTGTATTTTGATACTTTTTGTTAAACTTTTTTTAGAATCTTCACTGCGGAGTATGTATCTAGTCATCAGTCCTTGCTCACCCTTACGATGTGGCCATCAACTTGGCTGCCTGGATGACATTGTGCTGATGGTGATAACTGGCCATTTCGCTGGCCGAACCGTGCATGCCATGCATTCCAACGCCCATACCGACGCTCACACCCATACCCATGCCCATGCTGCTGCCAGCCGCAGCTGCCGCCGAGGAGGCGCTCAAGGGCGCAAACGAGCCGCTGAAGTAGCAGTTACTCACATAATCATAATTACTGGCATTTGCTTCGGACTTTACACTATAACCACCAACGCCACCAGTGGTTGAGTCACCAGAGCCACTGCCGATGTGCGAGCTGCCGCTGTGTTGACCCAAAGCGGCCGCGGAGTGTTGTGAAGCAGCATGGTGAGCCGCCGCCGCGGCATGATGATGATGATGATGCAGATGCGCGGCCGCTGCCGCCGAATGATGATAGCTGGGACTTGGCGTGCCGGCAGAAATACCATTAGATAGGGAGACAGCGCTGGGGGAGGAGTTGTTGAGATTGCCAATGCTACCACCACCACCACCACCTCCGCCACCGCCGCCGCTGCCAGCGGACGCAAGTAGGTGTTCGTACTTTGAGATGCTGTGCGAACCGAAGCTGGAGGCGGAGAGTTGTGCGCTGCTTGCATTGCTTTGCGGCGAATATAGGTTTGAGTTGAGCGACGAGGCAGTGGAGGCTGAGTGCACGGTGGGTGTGCTACCGGCGGAGGAGTGGGCATGCGCGTGCGCGTGTGAATGCGTATGCGAGATGGTGGAATGACGGGACTGCTGCGCGGCTGCGGACGACAAATGCATGTGATGGCTGAGTGTGTTGTGCAATGAGCTACTGGAAGATGGCGAGGCGCTGAGAGCGCTTAAGCTGAGATTGTGCAAGGAGTTGTTGTTGTTAATACTACCGCTGCCACCGACAGCGCTGCTCATGGCCGCAAGTGAGTTGTTAAGACTGCTGTTGGCTTTCAGGCTCAAATCGGACTGCAGCTTGGCGGTGAGCGCAACAGACGAAGGCAGGCTGTGGCGTTCCAAAGCGAGTGAGGACTTCGAGTCTATGGAAATGGGGAAATTTAAATTAATTAACAAATCAGCTGGCAACACTAAACTTTTTCGCACTATACTCACCATCATCTTTGCCATCCTTTGATACATCCGCCGAGCTGTTGGACTTTTTCGGCTTACGTTTGCGCGTCTGTATGCCATCCTTGCGCATCGCTAAAGGCCGATTGACCCCATGCAACTTGAAGTAGAGTCCGCAGGCGTTGCACACCGGTTCACCCTCATTGTTGCGCCGCCAAAGCGTTGTGGTGCGCGTACCGCAATTGGTGCAGCACAGTCCCAGCCGTCTTGTGGCCGTCTGCAAGGATAAAATCTAGTTTACAAAAATGCGCATGCAACAGCCGAAAAGAAGAAATGAAATTGAAGGTAAGTTTTGGAAGCAAAATAAAGGAAACACTCACTGTACTCACCAGTCGCTTGCTCGGTTTGATTAGCGGCCGATTCATGCCGTTCATCTTGTGATAGAGGCCGCAAGCGTTGCACAAATAATGGCCGGTGCCGTCGCGTCGCCAAAGCGGTGTGCTGATTGCACCACAATTGACACATTCACGTCCTTCACCAAACTGAAAGTCAATTGCATTGTCGTAGGGGGATGAGCGCTGAAAGCCGGTAGGATCGTAGGCTGCGCGCCACGAGCCCATCGAATAGAATTGCGCTGGCAGTTGGGCATGCGCAGTGCCAAAACTGTCGGTGGTCCAGGCGTTCTGCGCTGCGGCGGTGCCAAAATGGGCCGCAACATGATTGTATTGGCTTTGGGTGAGTGCGCGATTGGAAGGCACATAGACTGGCGCATTCATAGCCTGTTGGTGGTGGTAGCTACTATTGCCAGCCGCGCCGCCCGTAAGATCGGGATAGCCGGCGCTGGAGTGATACATTTTTGTTGAGAGCGGTTGTTGTTGTGTCGCACTAGCCGTCGACTGACCAAACGGCAGGTGGTTGCTGTACGCTGAACGCGGCAGTTGGCTTTGAATTTGGGAATGATAATCACTGGGTGAAGATTGTGGCGTAATGGGAGAAGTCTGTAAGCAGAAGGAAATTCAGAAAATTAGCTACACCAAAGGATACAACTGTATGTAACTTATTAAAATATAAACTCTAAAAGTATAACTTACTGATATGTATGTGCATATCAATTGTTTACGAGAAGAACACAATAATAAAAAAAAACTTTAGTAAATATGCAGAAATACCCGAAATTCGAAAGTGTTGTTTAAATAATTCTTAAAGGTATCTGCAAGTTTTGTCCCACAAAAAGGAAGAATTTTTCCTTCTTAAAGCTTTATTCATTCCTATTTTATTGTTCAACATTTTGCATAAAAAATCGCCTACAAAATTGTTTTATATACATAGTTGCGAAACTACTACTAAGAAACCGATCGCTTTTTTAATTAATGTGAGGAAACCAGATCAGCAATCAGTTGTTCTAGCAACAATGCTCTTTGATATAATTCGGGATCATTTCAGGACATTTTCATGATCATTTTAGGATTAATTCAGGACCAGTTTGGGACTTGTTCAGATATTTTTAAGGACCATTTGTGTTCTAGTTAGGAATGCAGATGTTTACACGCCTCTTTTTTAGTTAATTAATATTTCATCATAAAAACTTTAAAGCCGCTTTATCGCATTTTTGTTTTTTGATAATGTTCTCCCAGATGCCAGGTTGCCGAAAGTCTTCGGTTCAGTAAAAGGACTTAGATGAAATATGAAAGAAAAGGCCCGGATATCTGAATGGGTCAAAACCCTATTATAACCGATAGTAAGTATAATCCTGGCGCAGCTTTCATTCTCCCAACGAAGCTTCAAAAAGCATTTGTCACATTGTGTCCAGATTTTGTAATCTTTTCGTAGAATTTTTGTAGATATCGAATGACCTTTTAATAGCGTGCTCCCAGGAACAACCGCAAATTCTGCAAAACCGGGCTGAATTGATATCCGGTGGATTTTGTCTGTCTTCTCTTAAATCAGAGAATAATTCGTTCGGAGATGGAGCGGTTAAAACTCTACTTATACACTTTCAGTGTACAGGCTGCAACGCAATTGCTTACGCCGATGACCTAGCCTACTGCAACTGGTAAGTGACCACAGAAAAGTAACCTGGCAGCAGCGCAGTATTGAGAAGCGGACCAGAAAGGTCGCTATCTCGCCCTCTACGGCTGCAAAACGACTATAGTAAAGTAATAGGGTATCAAGCCTCACAAGTGCACTGGATATGTACAGTCGTCGTATATCCAATCGCTAAGCCTTAAATGGCGGTATGTGTGCTAATCCCTGGTGAGCTGCTTACACTCCTACTTACATTTTTAGGACCTCAGACTAGAGCGCCTCTGAATCTAGAGAACAACTGCAAATATGACTCGGGCTTGATACTGCAAGATAGCAATGCAACCATATACACGGCTAGCTCAAAACTAAACCGAAAACTAGGAAGCAGGATACACTTGAAATATTTCTCGCTGAATCTTAATTTAAGACTACCACTACTAAAAAGTCAATGGGCTGTTTCAAAGACTCTTTGATAGTGGTGATAGGTAATAGTAATGTAACACACAAGGTAGGTTCAGTGCAGGGAATTTTGCTATGAAGGAAACTTCTCCGTCTGACATCAACTCCTCTCATTTACAAATCATGGCTTATATCACACTTCTTCGAGAACTCACTTTTAGGACGACGCTGCAACAAGAAAAGGTCGGACTCATTTAGTCATTTAAAATGCCCTCTATTCATGCAAGTGAACTCGAACTGATATAGATTGAGCCTAAGAAAAGGATCTGCTTTTATACAAAAGAATGCTTAAGTAAAGTGAAACCTCTCAAAGTCAGAACCTGTGGCAGCTGAAAGCTCTACACAAAATTAAGCATATTTGGATTCCCACATACCAACCAACCAACCAACCAACCAACTTGTAACCCACTGTAACTGTAACCAACTTTTACATACCCTTTGATATTCATTCACACTTTGACCATCTAAATGAATGCTCTAGCTCAGAAAGTATTCGATTTGGAATCCGCTGGTCGTAGCAGTGGAAGAGAGAGGCCCCACTGCGATGGAAAAGCCAAGTGGAGAAGGATATGGCTTCACTTGGCACTTCCAATTGGCGTCAGTTGGCACAGAAGAAAGAATATTGGCGTGCTACGTTGAACTCGGTCATTACGTTGAATTAGGCATTTACAGCGCAACATAATAAGAAGAAGTGATGAATGCAATTACTAGGTATCACTCTTTGAATGTTGCACTGTAACTTTTCAATTTTAAAATACATAATCATAAAAGTAAGTCCGATTTCTTTCAGTGTACTTTCCCAATTCTACTTATAACACCCTTTGTATGTATAGCATATTTGTACGTTTACGAAACAAAATGGAAACGAAATACTGCGCTATGATTGGCTTAAGTGTCGTTGACTGCAGGAACCACCCCAAAAGTCAGGGCAAATGGTATCTACAAACACCTTGATATACATAAATACAATACATATCTACAAATTGGTAATTTTCTTCCTTCTCTACATATTGGCGCTAAAGCTGCACACGCATTCCTTTCCGATAGGTGGCAGCACATGGCTACAAATTCATATGTATGTATGTATGTATGTATGTTCATATTTTATTGCCACAATGGCGGTTGACTTAAGAGCCTTTTATTACTCCTTCTTTGTTTTTT